AGGCACGTCTTTTATACAAAGGCTTAATGCGCAGCACAATGGCTATGCACGTGCGTTGTAAATCTTGATACATTTCGTTGCCGTTCTCTGCAAACAGCGACGTGGAATCGAATGGCCACGTTCTGCGTATTTTGGAAAACGTGATCCAAGACAGCTGGTTTTTAGAATTTTCTTTTCTGTTATAATAAACAGATCTAAATGAATGAAATTTTAAGATTAATATTTTGCTAAGCGTAGCCCTTGGCGTCGCGGTCGTCACTGCTTAAGCTCCCTTACAATTTTATCGTCCGTAGGTGGTTGCGTTGACAACAAGTGTCCAGGTTAAAAGTGATGTGCCATAATATACCGACATTATATCTGACATAAAATTTCAAACCGCTAAATTCACTCAAAAATGCTTGAATACTTTAAATGTTTGTTGGCATAGTGGAATAAAATATCAAACCGCTTTGAAAGTCAACCAATGGGACATAACAATCTTATAACCAATGAGTGTCCCGGCTTTGAGCCGCTGTTCGGCCGGGAAGAAGCCAGCGCTCCTTACGTGGAAATGGAGCCTACCCTAACAAATTTTATACACAAACATGACTAAGTGCTCCATGCTATTTACCAGAAACACTAGGGCCCCGTCCACTCGTGTCCGTTTTTGTTTGGAAACGAGGATATTTTTTTCTTCGGTCGGGCCTTTCGTCCAAACGTATCCGGCGAAAACGGTCACCAAAAACATCCTTTCAAAAACGCTCTTCAGAGTGGAGATTTTCAAAAAACGCCATTTTGCTGTACTCGTATGGACGTATGAAAACGGAGGTTTTTGAAAACGATTACGTCACGGTGTTGGATCCAGCCTAGCCCGAGCACGCGATGACACAAAGTCAACATGGTGGAGAGAGGCATTGCTACTCTTTCACTGCCTACTTGGGCTTCTTGCAAGTATCATGGCAAGGTTTCAGTCACATTTTGCGATGTTAGATGTGCAAGGCGATTATGCAAGAAGACGACGCAACATAATTTTCTTTCATTGCCGTTTTAAAACAACAGGAGGCGTCAAACGATTGAATAGAGGTCGACAAGCAAGGGTTCGAAGATTTTGGGTTCGTCTAGGACGTACGAGTGCTTGGTGAGACAACTTTGTTGACCAAGTAGTCACACAGGAGGAGTGGAGGAAGAATTTTAGAATGAGTCAAGGCTCTGTCTGCAAATTTACGGAAGAACGTAGACCATACATCGAGGGCAAGGATACCATAATGAGGTCACCAGTGAGTGCGTATGCTCTCATCAAAAGATGGTACCATTTTCAGCCATTTTCAGTCATTGTTGCGTTTTCGGACGGGCAAAACGATTCAGAAACGCAACATGTGGACGCAGATATTTTTTGAAACGGAGGAAAAAAAAGTCTCCGTTTTGAAACAAAAACTGATATGTGTGGCAGGGCCTAACAAATTCTTAAAATGAAGACAGATTGACAAATGATTAGTCGAAAAAATATCATTACATATTTCCTAAACATTCTTGAAAAGCAAACGTCTTCGTTTTAAAGCCTATTTACAATGTTCAACCTCGTTCTCATGGCCTTTGCACTACTTGGTGGCCGGTCGCGGCCGGTTGTACACTGTTTTCCTCTCTTTCGATCTAGAAATGGAATTATCCTACAGTTCTATACTAAAGATCATATAGTGGAAAGCGCTAAGTCAGTCCGTGATAAAAACATGGTACGGTATTCGAAACCAGTACGTCAGAACTGAAGCAACAGTCGTTTTGGTTTAGTGGAAAAAGTCTTCGTCATCTGAAATAAGAAAGTAAAAGAGGAAAATAAGGGAACAATTGAAATAATAGCCCAGACGAAATGATAAATATGAACATTGGAGTTCAAATTGTTTCTTAAATCTTCCTTACCTCAGAAAATGAGATCAAAAGTCTCAGACACAAAAGGTCGACACAATGAATAAAGATCCCTTCAATATAACCCTTGAGACTTATTTAAAATTATTTTTCTCCGGTTTTGCGGTTTTAAGTTTGCCTTGCACTGTGTTACATGTACATGCATCAGATTTACTCAACATCCCTTCAAGTATGATTACAAATTTAAATAGGTATGTGAAACATGCACAAAGTTTAAAACCAAAAACTCAAAAGTTTAAAAAAACATTTTGAAAAAGTCGAAAGTGCACTCTCGATTTTTCAAAGAGCAATATGCATACGTTATTTCACACTTTTCAGTGTGTTTGGTAGGCCATAAAATGTGGTAGTTACTCTCATAACAACCAGGCATTCAGTAATAACGAGACTCATCTGAAATATCTGTTCTTAGCTGACTGAAACTCTGATAAAAATTTCGAGAAAGAATTTATGATACACTTTAATCGATCAAGGTTTTGGGCGTTTTTGAATTGAACTTACAGCGTAAAGACGTTTATTCCTTTTCACCGAGGTCCAAGGTTACGTCATCGCCAACAAGCATAAATGGAGCCCAGTGCTTGACGTCACTGAAGCGTTCGGATTCTCTGAGGCATTTCCTGGCCAGGTTGATGGCTTCACTGGCTCTCTTTCCTTCCAGCAAATGCTGGTAAAAACAACTCATGAACTCCAGTGTAGCTTCGTCGTCAATCGCCCACAGTGAAACCAGCACAGACCGCGCACCAGCACCAAGAAAAGCCCGGGCTATGCCCACCACGCCTTCAGCCTTAATATCTCCGTGAGCACTGTGGCAGCAACTCAGCACAACCAGCCGAGCGTGAAGCTGCATATTCAGCACATCTTCCATTGTTAGCATGTAGTCTTCTTTCTTTGGAGCGTTGTAGGGTCTTTCGGAACTTGGAGGGTTTGGTGACAAAGCGATTTCACCAGTCTCCATGCTTCCATGTGCTGCAATATGTAATCAAGGGAGCCGAGGCGAGCCGTCCCATCACTTCCGCTTTTGTTGCTTCTTTGCCAACAAGAGGAGTGACATTTAGAATCTTTCCAATCATTTGTACTTCCTTCTTGGCGAATTCAAGTTGCTCCAAGCGTCTTTTTCCTTTCCTTTTAATTTCAGCTACCCAAGGATCTCCAACGAGTAGTACCTTGCCGTCACTACAGTAACGTTCGGAGGATTCTGCCATCAGTTTCAAAATGGACAGCGAAGGAATCAGCCTTACTGTGAAGGATTCGCACAAGAACTTCGAACAGTGATCACGAAATGCAGAGAAAGGAGCCAAGAGAATCGGTCCATCGGGAACAATGATCAGCTCAGAACCTTCAATTAAATCCGAAATTGGATTAATGATCAGTTCATAAAGGTTTTGTAAGGGACTGCTTTTGCTGTGTGAAATCTTTCCGTCTTCTTCACACCTCTTCTGGACCAGATCCTTAACTGTTGGCTCCTCCAGGGCACGATTCTCGCACTGAACATTACGATTAACCCGAATTTCGTCATAAGCATTTTTTGTCAAAGAATGAAGAGATTTGAACACATCTTCCTTTAAATATGCGTTGCTAATTTCCTTTCGTCGAAAGAGTACAGGCCCTTCTTTTTGCAGCACCCAGAAGTTGAGTTCTCTTGCACCAGCGGCTATGAAAACCGTTTGGGTCGTAATGCTACTTATAGTTTTCACAACGTCGCTTTGTTTGACACTTGGCTGAGGAAGGGTAAACTGAACACCATACTGGGACATCATCAGGTCCATCAGGGCATGTGCGCGACCTCGCTCAGCCGTGAGAAGGGCTTCAGTAATCTTTTTTTGCTTTAACAAAACTGTCACTAACGCAATGTACACTTCATCATTTTGATGACGTAGGCTAATTTTCCATTCATCATCATTGGGCTGAAGAAGATTCCTTACGGCATCATACTGTTCCACAGATAGTTTATAAAAATCTTCGGATCCACACAAATCACCCAGGGAGTGATAAGCTTCGCCAAGATTGCCATAAGCGCGTCCCTGTCCCACTGTGTCCCCCGATTCTTTGGCAATACCAAGATGTTGTTCGTGGTACTCTATGGATTTTTGGAAATCACCGAGAGAGAGGTAAACAACGCCAAGATTGCAATAACAATTGCCTTCCACATCTTTGTCTCCGATATCTTTGGCAATTCCAAGACAGATCTTGTGGTATTCTATGGCTTTTTCTCTTTTCCCTAGAGAGTCACAAACGTTGCCAAGATTTCCATAAGCGCGTGCTTCCCCTGCCCTGTCTCCAATCTCTTTGGCAATATTAAGACGCAGTTGGTAGAAATCCGAGGCTTTTTCGAAATCACCGAGAGACAGATAACAACTGGCAAGATTGCCAAGAGCGTTTCCTTTTCCAGCCTTGTCTCCCAGTTCTTCGGCTTTTTTAAGACGCTTTTCGATATTTTCTTTAGCTTTTTCAAAATTGCCGAGTGAGAAGTAGACATTGCCAAGATTGCCGTAACAGCTTCCTTCGCCTACCCTGTTCCCCACTTCCTCGGCTAAACGGAGAGATTTCTCGTGGTTTTTCATTGCTTTGTTGAAATTGCCGAGCAGGCGATAATCAATACCAAGATTTCCATAGGCACGTCCCTCTCCGGCTTTGTCACCCAATTCTTTGGCTGTTTTAAGTTCTAGCTTGTGGTAGTTTTTGGCTAACTGAAATTTTCCGGTTGACCTATAAGCACTGCCAAGATTTGCAAAGGCATTTCCTTCTCCAAGCCTGTCTCCAATTTCTTTGGCAATACCAAGACTCAGGTTATGGTGATCAATGGCTTTGCTGAAATCACCGAGAGAGTGATAAGCGTTGCCAAGACTTAGATAGGCGCTTGCTTCTCCAACACGGTCTCCCAATTCTTTGGCAACACTTAGACGTAGTTGATGGCACTCTAGAGCTTTGTCCACAAGACCTTGAGAGTCATACACATTGCCAAGATTTCCATAAACTCGTCCTTCTGAAGCTCTGTCTCCGAGTTCTGTGGCAATATTAAGACTTAACTTGTAAGACGTTATGGCGTCGTTGAAACTACCGAGAGAGAAGTATGCACTACCGAGATTGCAATGTGCTCGTCCTTCTCCGGCTCTGTCTCCAATATCTTCGGCAATTTTAAGATCTAGCTGGTAGTAGTCCTTGGCTTTTTTGAAATCACCGCGACGAAGACACGCATTGCCAAGGCTTCCATAAGCGCGTCCTTCGCGAGCTTTGTCTCCCACTTCTTTGGCAATGCTGAGACCCAGTTGGTAGAAATCTGTGGCTTTTTGGAAATCACCGAGAGATAGATAGTCATTTCCCAGGCTGACACACGCACCGCACTCTGCAGCCTTGTCTCCAGCATCTTTAGTGAAACTAAGATACAGTTTGTGGTACTCTGCAGCTTTTTCAAAATTACTGAGAGAGAAATACGCTCTGCCTAGGCTGCTATAAGCGCGTCCTTCCCCATTTTTGTCTCCCACCTCTGTGGCGATGCTAAGACGCTGCTGGTAGGAATCTATGGCTTTTTGGAAATCACTAAGAAAGAAATAAGCATTGCCAAGGCTGTCATAAGTACGACCCTCCGCAGCTTTGTCACCCTTTTCTTTGGTAAAACTGAGATACCGCTGAAAATACTCTGTGGCTTTGGTAAAACGCTTAAGGGCGTAATACGCGAGACCAAGGCTGTTACAAGCGCGCCCTTCACTAAGCCTATCTTCGATGTCTTTGCTTATAGCGAGGTACTTCTGATGGTACTCTACTGCTTTGTTAAAATCTCTAAGGGAGTAGTACCGGTCACCAAGGCTGCGACAAGCGCGCCCTTCTCCAAGCCTGTCTCCGATTTCTTGGGTGATAGTAAGATACTGCTGATGGTACTCTACTGCTCCTTTCAAATCTCCACGAGAGAGACAATCATTGCCCATGATGGCGTAGGCCATTCCTTCCCTGGCTCTTTCTTCTTTTTGTTTCTCAGCTTCATCACCACATGTGGCCTTCGCATTCGTACACATTTTTCTTGTTTTCAACAATTTCTCATTCCCAGGGTCGTTCTTTCTTACGTTAAGGCATTGATGTCTATAATACTGGCAACAGCTTAATTTAGCCTGAAAGGTTGCTGTGCTCTGTCTTCTATTTTCTAACCAAAATTCGAAGACAAAGTTTGATATGATGTATATTTTTTTGCAGCTTACACAAATTCTTATATTTGTTTTGTGTCTAAGGATACTGCTAATCCCTGATCACACCAGTTAATGGCTTCTTCAAAGAGATTCAGCTTCACACAGGAACTTGCTCCTGATAAAAAAAGGACATGCCAGTTGTGAATAAACGGGATGGACGCACTTAAAAAAAA